TGGAGCACTTGTACTATTTCCTTTTCACTGCTTGTACAGCAAATTGGAACCATCAACATCATATGAAACATAAGCATTGTTCCATTATAAACATGAAGTTGCCAAATAATGTCAGCTTACAAAAGAACTAATCAGTATGTATCCTGGTGATAACTGGCCCTTGAAAATTTTGAACAGCGAATTGTTTAGGCTCAGATGAAAACAGATCAAGCAGAAAAGTTAGGCAAACAATGAGTAAGACAGCACTCACAGAAGAAATCAACACCAAGCACAGAGGTACCTGGAGATAACACATGATGTTCTTTCTCTTCAGCAGTAGGAAGAGAGAAATTGTGTGAGCAAAAACCCTTATTTAAGAATGCTTTGAAGAACAGAGAGAGACAGCAAGGAATTAACAATTAAATAAAGAATGAAATTAATGAAATCACCCTGGAGTCTTCTGTTCTGTTTCTTTAACCCATTCAGAGACATGTTTTGGTCCTGAACCTGTTGCAGGAAGTCACACTACAGCTTGTCATACTCTCTGTACCTAACATACTGCCTTCTAGGGAATTTAACTTTTCCCAGTGCATATTTCCTTTAATTGGTCAGCAGAGTGTTGTTTTTCTTAGTAAATCTTCCTCCCAAGTTACCATGTTCTTATTTCACATTCCTTAGTTTATGAGATTTACTCCAACTCAGTATGCAGAAATGCAAATATTTTAAAGGCAAAAACATTCCTCATGGACTCATTTTTTTTCACCATTAGAACTTTTTCATTCTCACTGCGTATTTATTTATTCTCTTGAAACACATAATTTCTCCTGCTTGTTACTGAGTCAGCATTACTTCTATGAGCATATACAGGGCTTCTTACACAGCCACGTTTCTTGCCCTCCAGTACCCTTACAATTTAAAACAGATTATTATTAGTAGTAGATTCTTATCCCACCTTTACATTTGGTCAACTCAAGGTGGCATCCATATGTAATGCTCCCACCTCCTATTTGCCCCACAACAACAGTCTTGTGAGGTGGGCTGGGCTGAGAGACAGTGACTGGGCCAAAGTCACCCAGCTGGCTTTCATGCTTAAGGGAGGACTAGAACGCATAGGCTCCTGGTTTTTAGACTAGCACCTTGGCCACTACACCAATTGGCTTTCAACAGATAATGAAGAAAGAGAGGGAAAGGAAGAAAAATGAAAACAGTGCAGGGAGGACAGATGAATGCAGGTAAACACAGTCACTAAAAACAGTTTAGCTGCACCCTGGGAATATTAAATCCAGTGCTACGTTAGAAAGGTATGTCTGTCCAAAAAAGGCTCCCAGGGCAATTCTAAGTTAACATCTTCAAACATCAGTCACAGCAAAATAAACAAGGCAAAGAAATCAAAAATTGGTATTGGAACAACACATTTAAAACCACCTAAAAGCCATGAATTTAAAAACCATGGTGTTAATATCCTGCCATTCTTTGGAAGCAAGCTCTGCAACCAGGCCACAAAAAAGTCCTGCTTAGTAATGGAACATAATTAAAAGAACTCCCATAGCATGGCGAAATTAAAAGCCAGTTCACATGGGAGGATGCTGAGGTTTTCATATACTTCATCAAGAATAATGGAGATGAAAAAAATGAAGGTTAGATCTCTAGAGACTGAAGTTCAAATGGCAAGATGTCCAGCTCAATGTTTCGGTTGTAAATACTTCACTAACCATACCACGTCAAGTTTGGGCCTACAAATGGACTAGGGATAGAAAATGCTGGAGGAGGGCAGCAGCAGTCTCTTCTCCATTCCACCAAAGTTCTCAGCCAATTTTCCTTGCTCTCCTCACGCTCTGCCTGTTTCCAGGCATTCAGTATATAATTCTCCAGGATCAAAATAAGATTTAATTGCCAGTCCAATTGACTCCTCTAGATGAAATCGTACATCATCCTCTCCTTTGGCAAAACCCCTTTGGCCTTCACCAATGTGTCCATCAGCACTCATCCAAAGAGATTCAAACTACTGTGTCTTACATTAAGGCCTTTTCATCAACAAATTAGCCCTTCAATATACCTTCATTCAAACCAGTAAAGTTACCTTTAAGGCCTCCACAGAAAAAAATGATGACAACAAAGACTGGAATTCACAAGAACTTTCTTCAGAATTACTGCTGCTCCATACCAGAAGAATCTGGTCATGTCTCATGCCCTGCCTTACCTGACATTGTTTTTCAAATATTATTTTAATTTAAAAAATTAAATGGAACACTTGTATGTTTCAAAGCAAAGTTTAAGCCTTCAGCCTTGTCTCTGTTTTCCAGCATGCCTTGGGGCTACATTTATATAGCACACTAAGCCAGATCATTTTAAAAACAAATGTATCATAAACATTTGGAATCACACTTTGTACCCAAGGGTTCTGACCCTGAAATCCTGTTAAAGATAAAAAACTATACCATTCCAAGCATAATTGGTATAGTCTTCATTTTTCTTTCAGTCACCTGACACTAGATAAATCATTTACCTGTCATTTGCACCAGCTAGGATATAAAATGCACAAAATTAAATAAACTAGTTATGGTCATTTCAGGTTACATGACAAAGTCAGCTAGTTTAGTCTTGCTGCAAATGTGAAACAGTTATTTCTCGAGTCAACCCTACCTCTCTTTTATACTGACAATATACTTGAAATGGTACACGTGCTTTATTCAATTTGTCCTTTCGTTTATAACATTTAATCACCAAATACTATAACTAAATGGAAATACCCAATCTTTAAACTGTAACGTTTCTTTCCAGAAGATTTCTTTTTCATTTTTTCCCAAATGTTTATCATAGGCAGGAGGCAAATGCTTGCTTCCCCAATAAGTATTAAGACATTTATCCTCCCTCTGACTGCTGTACTTCTGTCAACATAAAGGAAAAACAGTCACATTACAATGACAGGGCATTAAAAGAAGACTACTTTCCTTATTTAAAGTTAAATATTTCAAAGTCAATGGGAGTTATTCATAGAAAAGATATAGTGGATATCACAACAGGTATCAGCCCCTCCTTCTGCTAAGTAATTGTCCTTATTTTTCCAACTATATATTCTCCTCTCTCCATTCACAGATTTATGCAGAAACCTTATTCCCCTTTCATGATCACTTCCTTTTATATTCTGAATGCACACATATCTGCTCTGGATCCCACCAAATTAGATTATGGTACTTATTTTTATTTACACAGAATATTACACCACTGTTTTTAACTTCTTTCCACTTTTGCTCAGATGTTCGAAATGGACCCAGTTGCATGAATTCAGTGATAATACTGCATTGAGTCAGTGGCTTCATTAGACCAAGAGAAGAAGGTCTGGATATGCCATAGTAAAAATTATATCAACTTGTGAGGAACAGTATCTTATACATGGATTATTCAGACGTGCACAAAGCATTAGCGGCGAGGGGACCGACCTTCCACTGAATAAGCCTTCCTACAATATTCAGTGCTTGATACGCTCCCAGTATGCAAAAAAAAAAAAAAGCATAACGCTTTTCCAAAGTGAAATTTCAGCCAATTTAGATAGGAACCTGTTTATCTTGCCTAAAGCACTTAGGACACTTTTACATGTACTAGGGGTTAATTGAGATAGGCTATAATTTCTATACTTCAAGCATCAATTAGCAGGCAATTATTTATCTTGTTATTTTGTTCCAGCAGCTATAAAACATTCCTGGCCCTCAGATAAGCAGTTTTGCCTGATTTTTGTAAAATGTATATTGGACTGAATTCCTGTTCTTTTTTCTTTTAATTTCTATCTAAAAATATTAATACGGACATTCTGAAATTTGGCCAAGAGGACAAAATATTGGCTGTCTGCCTTCTTCTCTTTTCTTGTGTAAAAAAAAGGCAAAAAAAAGGAAGTAAGAAATTTGAAGAGGTGAGAATGGGCTTAACCACTCAAGGATGCAGATGTGTGAAACGCCTTTTTTTAAAATGCATCCCTCAGTATTAAAATAAAACCAAAAGGCCTCCAAAACCTGCTAACTAGAAAAGGAAGACAAGCGATATGGGGCCATTTAGGCCAACTCTCTGCAGAACTTTAAGCATCCTTGATGCATAGCTCTTGGTCTGCATCTAATGAAAAGGAGACCACGATTTCCCTGGCCAACTGGTCGTACTGTCGAACACGCGACCCTCGATTTCTTGCTTGCATGGAATCAGGAACCTGGAAGCACCGTTTGCAAATCGTTTGGCGCTTGCTTTTCTGAAGCGGAAGGGAGCGTCCAGAAAGGTGGCACCTCACCTGTAGCAATCCAGACGCTTCTGACCCCTCCCCTCCCGCCCCGCTCCCTGCGGAGGATCTTCCCTCTTCTTTCTGCAGTTCGTGTGGCACAAGGCGGCGGAGACAGGAAACGCGCCAGCGGCCTCCAGCGCGCGAGCAG